GAGCAAATCTTAGACTAAACTAAGCCGAAAAGTCCTCTACTATTTTGCAATTTTCGCAATTAACGAGATATTAATTATATAAAAAATCGCTAAATATTAGTTTTCAATTTTTTATTCAAATATTATATTCAACTTTACAGGAAAACAGCAAGAGATAAAAATTGTTTATTTTCTTCTTATAAATCTCTGAGAATTTTTTCAGAATTGTTTACCGTATTTTCTCATGGTGGTAAAAATAAGAAAATGCAGTACTAAAAAGTTCTTAGAGAAGAAAATAAATGATTTTTGTCTCTTGCAGCTTTTCTATAAAGTTGATAGTATTTGAGTAAAAAATTATTGAAGAACAATATTTAGGAACTTTTATTAATTAATATTGTATTTCGTTAACCATTACGAAAATTACAAAATGGTAAAGGATTAAGCTTTTCGATTCAGTTTAGTCCGCTCTACCTGCTCAGAATGGGTGATGCCAAATTTTAGGCACCCCCTGTATAACTAAATTTGTAGATACTTTAGGAAAATTTTTCGTTTTTTCCATATGCGATTGTCGCACCGTAACTTATCTCCCTCCACTCGCTCGAGGAAGACGGGAATCGGAGGGGACACGTCCGAAATTTATTGCGACCGAGCCGCCGCCGCGGACGGCGATTGATTCGCTTATGAATGAGTTGCGTAAAGAATAAGTTGCACGCGGCTCGATCGTAAAAGATGCGCTCGCGCTCGCGCGCTTCACGCGACTCGATATCAGAATAAATCAGCGTTGATTGCGAGTCCAATTTCCAACGAAAGAATTCCCCCAAAATCCCTCGTTTTCGCGACATTCCTTGATCCCGACTCGTCCTCGGTTCTTTCACAATTTCATACGTCACATACGCGACTCATTCGGTCGATGTACCGTTAATCGACGTGAATCGTCGGCCTGGCTTACGCGTGTATACGTTTGTCGTTTGAGAAAAATTTGCAGGTCTCCTCTCGCTCCTCTCGTCGCTGATGAGATCTTCGGGTGAGATTCGTAGCAGCGATGTTGAATGCGACGAAAGTCAATGCGACAAGAAAAGGGGGCGGGAAGGGGAGAACAAGATTCAATCGCGTGAT